TGGGGCAAGACTTGCTTCAGTGGGGCTTTGATGCTCTCTGAGTCTGCCCCCCGAGTGTGTCCCTTATGGATTTGAGGAGTTGTAATCTCGATGCTCTCACTGTAACTATTGGGTACACTGGCTCTTGGGTCTCTAAGGAGGTGCTAATTTAGCCTCTTCCTGTGGCTACCCAGCAGGAGCTATGGAGAGATCTTCAGATTCCTCTTCTTTGTTTTGGTTTTGGAGGTGCCCAGATGAGGCCCAGCTGTGAAGCAGCGCAAGCTGCTGTGGGGCCTTGGGCCTTCTCTTGGATGTTCTGGGTCTCTCTGACCCAGCTGCAGTTTGTTAGGTAATTTTAGTTTGCAAAGGGCTAGGCCATTCATACAAAGCCTCTGCGTGCAACTTCGGTGGGACAGGGTCTCAGGGAATCAATAGAACAGAGCAAAAAGCTATGGCTGATCCTCAGCCCTGCCCTATGAGGCCCCGGATCTCAGTGTCCCACAGTAATCGCTGCAAGCACCTCTGAGAGAAAGCCGCCCTCGAGTTCCATCCGATGCCTGACAGTCCAGTTTCTCCCCTTATGAGTCTGGGTCCCCAGAGACTCGCCCAGAACTGGAGTTCAGAGCAGTTGGGAGCTTGTGACTCCCTCCCGATTCAAAAAGACAACCGCGTCCTCAGTTGCCAGCCCTTTCCGTGCTCGCCACCATACCTGTGCACTTTACTTCCACAGCTCCTCTGAGTCTCAGTGTGCTTTTCTCTTTCCTTCTAGTTGTAGAACTTTCACTCAGCCAGCTTTCCTGTGGTTCTGGATGATGTATGTTTTGTCTTTTAGTTGTAGTTTTGGAGTGGTTGTGCGACTCAGCAATTTCAGGTGTTTACCTATGCCACCATCTTGGTTTCCCCCTCAGGTTCAATTCTTGGTCAAGGGCATGTACCTGGGTTACAGGTTTGATCCCCAGTCCTGGTTGGATTGCATGCAAGAGGCAACCAATCTGTGTCTCTCTCATATTCTCCTCCACCCACCCACCCATCCATTCTCTCTAAAAATCAATGTAGCCTCACTAGTGTTGTTCAGTGGCTAAGCATCAATCCATGAACCAAGAAGTCACTGGCTCAGTTCTCAGTCAAGGCACATGCCCAGGTTGTCGGCTTGATTCCCTGTAGGGGGCATGTAGGAGGTGGCCATCAATGATGTTTCTCTTTCATCAATGTTTCTATCTCCCTATTCCTCTCCCTTCCTCTTTAAAAATATCAATAAAAACATATTTTTAAAAATCAATGGAAAAAATATCCTGGGTCAGGCTTAACAAAATTTTTTTTATTAAATTAAATAAAACTTTGTATTAAAATATATTTCTAATATTAGTACTGTCAAACTATCAACGCATATTCATAGAGATGTCTGAAATAATGTTTGTAAAATATTAACTGGTTAAATTGAGGTGGTGGGGTTTGGGGTAAGTTTCTACTTTCTTTTTTATGCTTTTCTGTTTTGCTGAAATTATAAAAACATGTATTGTGTTTACAAAGGCAAATTATTCTTAAAATTATTAAAGCTGTATAACAAAGTTTTTCAGGTAATAAGAGTTTTCTACAACTAATTCAAAGTTTGTCTATGAACATAAACTTTAACCATATTTATAAATACCCTGCCTTAAGGGTTCCTTAAATCAACATCATTTGCTGAGCCTGCATGGAATGAGTGCATACCCAAATCTTTTTCTTTATTTGCCCCCAAAAAATGAAAGGAAGAAAAGAAGCTATGGCCCTGAATGCACTCCTTCACTCTCTTGTGCCAATGTGATATGTCACGTAACAGAGGTCACATGGGTGTGTGTGTGTATAGGAGAGTATGTGACTATTTTTTTTAAGAAATCTTTATTGTTCAGATTATTACAAATGTTCCTCTTTTTCCCCCCCATAGCTCCCCTCCACCTGGTTCCCACCCCACACGATGCCCTTACCCCCTGCCACTGTCCTCATCCATAGGTGTAAGATTTTTGTCCAAACTCTTCCTGCACCCTTAACACCTCCTTCCCCCTGAGAATTGTCAGTTCACTCCTTTTCTATGCCCCTGATTCTATTATATTCACCAGTTTATTCTCTTCATCAGATTTTTTTATTGACTTTATTTTTAGATTTACTTGTTGATAGATATGTATTTGTTGTCCCTTTGTTGTTCATAAAATTTATCTTTACCGTTTTCTTCTTCCTCTTCTTAAAGAATACCCTTCAGCATTTCATATAATACTGGTTTGGTGGTGATGAACTCCTTTAGCTTTTTCTTGTCTGTGAAGCTCATTATCTGACCTTCAAGTCTACATGATAGCTTTGCTGGGTAGAGTAATCTTGGTTGTAGGTTCTTGCTAGTCATCACTTTGAATATTTCTTACCTCTCTCTTCTGGCCTGCATAGTTTCTGTTGAGAAATCAGCTGACAGTCGTATGGGTATTCCCTTGTAGGTAACTGAC